AGAAGATAAATAAGAGACAATTGTATGCATAATAGTTTTTTTTTTGTGATTTTCATTCATTCAGTGATTGCTTTTTCAGTGATTTTCATTGATTTTAAATTAAAAAATCAATTATATCTTTAGACCCTCTTTTAGGATGAGATCTGCCAAAAAAGTATTTAAATAGCATAAAAGCTCACGTTACTTCTAAAAAATTGAATCAAAACATCAGTTACATTGTATAAATTTTGGCCAGTTTTATTTGCTGAAATTCTTACTCCTCAAGAGATAAAGGGAATTCAGACAAGTTAATAAAAAATATCTTTAAAAAAGGTTGTTATTTTTGTCTGTAATAAGGTGTATGTCAACTTACTTCTATTAAATGTATGAAAATTAGGATTGGATTACAGAAAAGCACGCGAACGCTATCTGCTTAAGGGGATGGATGCTTTCGTGTAAACCTTTTTAAGAGAAAATTGCTCGCATCGCATTTAACGTTTCCTGGTGGAAAACTCCATATGTAATCACCCGTTCTTCTTCGGGTTTGATGGGATTAATTTTGTTCGCTTACTGAATTACATCAAAGCACACAACAATTACCTGTATAAGGGGAGTTATGCCTTCGCGGAGGACTTTCTAAGAGAAGCTGGCTTGCATTTATGTTACTTACAACAAAAACCGTGAATCCAACTATTTAGCAGGGATTCAAAGCCAAGCGAGCTACAAGTGTTCAGCCACCTTTACCGCTCCGCTCTACTGAAGAGCCCGTAAAATATTGATAAAGGAAAAGTATTGAAATAACTGGTTAATTATTTACTAACCTATATTTCTCAATCGATAGTACATAAATTACGCATATGAGGAGGATTATTTGTGAATAAATAAACTGTATTGCACTTTTCTCCACTATTTCATATTACGATGGAATTATTGCATTTCAAAGTTATTTCTCATGAATTAATTTTGCTTCGTTCAGGATTTTTGATATTTTCAAAGAGAAAATTCCACACTTTAAATAAAAAAATACACGAGAAGATACTTTATGCAAAATTTGGCATAAATGGTTTTCTTAATTTTGCTTTGAAAATATTCCAGGGTAATTGTTTTAATTACTGGAAGAAATATGAAAAACAGATTTACTACATTGTGTCAACACCCAGTATATCCTTTTGAAAACGTGAAAGATTACTCTTTCTAAAATAAATTAGAAAATATATTATGTGCAAATAGAATATTCGTTGAAAATGAAGTAGACTTCAACCTTTGGATATAACGATGGTTTTAGACACGAAATTTCTACCTATGAAAAGAAATTGAGGTATAAATTAATTCTTCATGAACATTTAAAAAACTGTTCTCTCAAAATTCTTTTTGATGGATTGCATGTATAGGTCAAACGGATTTTTTTTTTCTCTGCTAACATAAACAAAAGCCAATTTTACAAAGAAAAATTCTTGTTAAAGATATACCTTCTTTGCCTGATAGTCCATTAAGTTAAATGTTAAATGATTAAACGCAACCAATGTATCTCAGATTTTGATTTTTATATATTTTAATAACAAAATTATCGAAAAAAGCAGATTTAAATCTGTGTTATTGTTATGTAAAGCTTTATTATTACTGTAAGTTCATCTCAAAATCTATTTGTATTGAATCTCATTCTAATCATCTAATGATAATAAATATTATTATTATTATTTCATTACCATTATTTTATTAATGAAAATATGTTATTAAAAGTCACATTCCAGCCTGCAGACTTACAAATCTAGTTCGTATTTACTATATTTTGTTAAATTTTGTTCTCGCTTTCTAATTTCTAATACGAAAATACGGGAATATAAATGAAGAGTGAAAAAAAGTTAAAAACTTCACAAATTATTTACGAGATTGATTAGAAATAGTGAGAGAAATATAAACATTGCATACATTTTGTTCTAAATAAATTGTGCACTGGATATGCATTCAGTACTGCATATTTATTTATGCACTATTTATTTAGAACTTCATTTAAATGAAAGCAAAATAATCATCGAAAAAATTGCAAATCTAGCAACCCCCTCTACTATGGGACGTAAGCGTCCAACAAACATGTAAATTTTATTTCATCCATGGAGGGGGACTAACGACTTTTCTCATTAGGAAAATGTCAAAGAGGGGGCAAAACTGTTTCGGATCGCGCCGGTCTGAAGGCTGTATTATGAGAATTTCGGCCCGGTTTTAGAAGGTTAAAATTTTTATGTCTATTTCTAGATAATGATTCTCTTCTGAGAGTAGGAGGCAGACTTGCCAACAGTAATCTTAATTACAATAAAAAATTTACTTACATAATACCAAAAGATCATGTATTGAATAGATTAATTTTTCAGTATTATCATGTTAAATATTTACATCTTGGTATCTCTATTGCATCAGGTTCATAGTAAATTTTGGGTTATTAATGGTCGAGATCTAGCTCAAAAGGTTGTACATGAATATGTAACATGTTTTAAGGCTAAACCAATTGTATGCGAACAACTTATGGGAAATTTACCTGGTGAAAAAGTTAACCCAGGGTTTGTATTTAATACTTGTGGACTCGATTTTTCTGGTCCATTTCTCATTAAGTATAAAAAGTCAGAGAAAGGGTAATTATGAAAAAGTGTACGTTGCTATATTCGTATGTTTAGCTACTAAGAGAACTACATTTAGAGATAGTAACTGATTAGACCACAGATTCATTACTTGCTACTATTAAAAGATTTATTGCTAGACATGGAAAATGTAATACCATAATGGTACTTATATGGCTGGTGCAAAATCAAAACTGAAAAAAATGCATAGCTTAGTACTTAAATCTCATTCAGACACAGCAGATTTCTTAACATCTGAAGGTATAAATTGGAAACTAATACCAACTAGAACACCAAATTTTGGTGGTTTATGGGAAGAAGGTATTAAGTCATTTAAATATTATCTTCAGCGTACAATTGGCAGTTATAAATTGACTTTAGAAGAATTTTGGACTGTTGTCACACATATTGAAGGTATTCTCAATTCTTGTCCAATTTTACCTTTATCAACAGATGTGAATGACTTTGAAGCCTTAATGCCGGGTCATTTTTTAATTGGACATTCCATTACTTCATATCCTGAACCGGATTTGTCTCATTTTACAGATGAAAGACTTTCTAAATGGCAAGTTATTACCAAGTCATTCAAGTTATTTAGAAACGTTGGCAAAATAATTATTTAAATCATCTCCAACAACGCACCAAATGGTTTATTAATAAAGGAAATTTAAAGACAGGTATATTAGTTGTGTTAAAGGAAGATAATCTTCCCGCATTTAAATGGTCTTTAGCCATAATTCTAGAAGTTTACCAGGTAAAGATAATAAGGCCAGATTTGTTGAAGTGAAAACATTAAATGGTGTGCATATTTGATGTATTAGTAAAATTTGTTTATTACCTATCCAGGATAATAATGCTTAGCTTGCATTATGTTCTTATTGAAAATTGTGCTTATATTAAAATGGAACTGTTTAAGAATAAGTCCGATTGTAGCATAGTGAATGTTAATGTTCTTAGAATGTTTATATTATTTTATATTATATTCATGATGAAATTACCTATTAGCTTTCATATTGTACTGTACAATTAGTTGTTCTTGAAATGTTAAATTGTATGCTTGTTTGTAATTTACATACTGAAATTTGCAATTTCAACAGGCGGTGCCATGTTAAGTTAGAATACAGCACCACCTATTGGATATGGAGAGAAACTCTCACTTGGCCATCTGGATTCGGCTAAGCAACATACCAGAGCATGTATTAGAACTGAATGTAGTTAATTACTGAAAATAAATTAGTTAGTTCTCTCTATTATACATTCTGCTCATTAGCTTAGAATCATAGGACAATATTTATCATATTTTGCTTCAGACTTCTAGAAGAGATAATCTCCTTAGTCTTACAATATAATACATTAACATATAGAACTTTGAAAGAAGTAATAACTGAGCCTTAAATTGAATGCATAGCACAATACAAACTTTACAACAGAAAAACGGCATCTAGCATTCTAAAAAGTAATAATAAAGTACTCTGAAATCAAATGTAAGCTATAAATATTCTCTTTTTGCAGCTCTGGCATTAACAGCATGCAAGCATTTGAAATTCATCAAATTCTTGCATTTCAGAAGAAAAGAAGGGCAACAGAGATATTCACTTTGCACACTGTAACTATTTCATCAACTAATGCTGACACTATTCAGCATACATAATCCTTTTAGGATGAGGAATAGGTAGAAATATTAATGCCGTAATTGACAGTATGCAATTGGTTCATTTTGAAATTTGACTCTAAAATCAATGATGCAGCGCATAACTACAGATTACATATAGTTAATAAGGATTTAATTATATGATAGAATTAAACAATAATACTTTTTTTTTTTTTTTCCTTTCCATCTTGGTTATAAGTTAATAGGCGTGCACTGCCTGCACTGCATGCGTTAAGGTGGCGCTCTTGTATTATATCATTGTGGATACTAGACATCTGTTTTCAGACTTTGTACTGTATAGGTATTAAATTATTACTTCAATCATATTAAAAAATAAATTTTTCAGAATTAATTAGTTTTAATTACTTAATTACAGAAACAGAATGAAATTACAACATTTGGATATTCACATAACTAATTTGTTATAATTAAAATAGAAATAAGTGGTATTAAGCAAAAACAAACTTAAGCTCTTTTTACAAAAAAGACAGTAAGTAATTCAGTCAAGTGAAAATATTGCTCTTTACTTTTCATTTAAACAAACAAAAGTGAACTAATAAAATTTTACTTTTTTACTGTTTGTATCTTGAATAATGAAAAATAATTGAAAATACTGCAAAAAAAGAAAATAAATGTTTAGCATTATTCCCTTTTTAAATTTAAGACATTATTAAAAACTAAAACCTGAAAGTTTCTTGCTTACAAAAACATAACATAAAAATATAATATCAAATTTTATTTGATTAAAAAACGGGAACCTGGTAAGGGGAATTCTTGTGAGAGTAGCAAAGTAATCCATCTGAAACTATAATACTGAGGCTTCAAATCTTGCATTTGTAACCGTTGCCATATATTAAAATCATGTTCTTGAAGGAGATTCATTAACCGTTTCATCATGGCTCCAATACCACTTGCAGAATCATCCAAGGTTTTAATAAAGAAATCTCGAATTTCAGACATAAGATTCGTGAAGCAAAAAAAGGAATCAGCTTCAGCATATTCTAAAATTTGGAAAAACTAAAATTAAAAAAGATTTAAATAATAAAAAGAAATTTTATTACAATTATAATTTAATTAAAAAAATTATAATCATCACATTTTACAACCTACTGAAAGTATCTGCATTGGATTTTGTATGAGAAATGCTTTCAAATCATTACAATTTTATACTGTGTAAAGCAGATACAATAGATAATAATAGCAAGATTTGTTTCACATATAGAGTAATTAATAATTACCACATATTCCGGAATATAACACGTACAATGCACACCTATAGCTTCAAACTACATTTATTAATTTTTAGTCGTATTATATGCTTCCCCCCCCCCAAGGAAACCTAAAAGATGCATGTATGATGCTTTAATTTTTTAAATCATTCATTCAAAGATTTTTCCTATGCATTCGAACAATAGTATACTGAAATGACAAGCCATAAGGGGAACAATACATATGCGTGGGAGGAAAGCCAAAGAGAAAATAATTAAGTATAGTAAAATAATTCTGCTTGAAGGTAAATAATTCTGTACAGAGGGTGGGTTGTATTCAGTGCTGGTGGACACAAGAATATTATTCTGTGTTTCTGAGAAAAGGGGGACAGAATGTAGGGGACAGAATGTAGGGTAAGAATGCTCTTCCAAACCAAATGAATTCAAAAAATTTGTAGTCATTTGAAGCTGTAATTTTGAAATGAGCATTGTAGGCGTTTAATAAAACACATTTGCTTTATTTGAAACACAATTAGATGATTTAGTATTCAATATGGCTGCTGCCAAATTAAACAACACAATGTTGGTTTCAAATGCAAAACCATTCAGTTTGCGAAAGAAAATAGAAATCATACTGCAGCAAGAGTGTTTTATTTATTTATTTATTTATTTTTTTATTATTATTATGAAAGATAAAATGGATCAAGACTATTTACAGATCAGAGTGACAATGATGGTGAGGATGAAATAGAATTCAATGATGAGCCTGAGGATATATGAGTAGATGAACATGACGCAATGCTATCTGATAATGAACACTTTTAGGTTTATAAGGTATGTCATTTCTTTTAAACAAACAGCATTTAAATTTCTGTATGCTAGTTTTTAACCTTATTTTTAATCTATCTTTTTCACATCTGATATATAAGGCGCACCCGTTAATTTCGCTTATTTTTTGTATTAAAAGTGTGTATTATATGCTGGAATATATGGTACATTAATTCTCATATCATGAACCTTGAATTACATTATTCTGTCTTTAATTTACTTCTGCTAATAAATACTGAGAAATTACACAATTGTGTCATTTTATTTCATGATTCTTTAATTAAAAGTACAAAGCAATTCAGAAGTTTTAGAAAGTAAACTGCACTCAATCTCTAAAGACAGTGGATTAAAAAAAGAAACAATTGGGTATAGTTTTGAATCGGTATTATTGCTTCCATCCATTCATCAAATGCGGAATGGAACTGTTTTAATGCAATCAATAACTGAAAACTTATTTTTCCTACTCATTTCTTTAACAATTGCAACCGTTTTAGTCCTTGCTCTTGAGCACTTCTTAGCAATTTCGCTATTAGAAAACATTTTTCTAAACAAAGCTGCAGCATGATCCGATGTATTCAGTGGCAAGTTGTACTCCAGTAAAGGTAGAGAACAAGCATTCTGCATTAATAACTTCTTGTTACTTTGTTTTCACACACACACACACACACACACACACACACACCACACACACAACAAAAAAAAAAAAAAAAAAAAAAAAAAAAAAAAAAAAATCATTTTTCATTCCCCCAATAAAACTTATGCAATCCTTGTTTTTATGTATGCACATGTTTGTGAACATCGGCCCTTCCATTTTGCAATTATTTTGCAGTACATTTTTCACACAATTTTTAATAAACAAACATTAGAATTATGTAATATAAAAATAATTTAACAACTATAATTAGAAAACAATGGAGACAATATTTCTTTCATATTTTGAGAGAAATTGACATCTGCAAAATTTCCTTAAAATCTATGCAATTTAAAACTCAGGATCCTAATCATAATTCATATGAAACATTTACACATGCGGGTTTAATGTATAACAGACGGTATACGCTACGTTAAAATTATCTAATTCAGTTAATGTTGCAGATTGCGTTGTTCCTTAATCTTTGAATTGGATCCAGCTTATTATTTTTTGCAAACTGTTAGAGCAATTTTATAAAAGTAAGCTTGAACTTTCGATTATGTCAAATAGAATTTCCGATATATATTTACTAATATGCAAAGTATCTACAAAGCGAAAGTATGTTTCGAAGTCCATTAAACAAAAAGTGGAATTGCTGCAAAAAATAGATAAAGGCATATCCTTCATTTCTCTAATCATTCCTGTTTATCAATTTCACGCTGCTCTGGGGTGGGGGGACTCCGTGGCGCGCAATGAATTGGAAGTTGATCTGTCAGCACTATCCTTATCTTCAGGGGAGATGTTTTTATTTTATTTGGCTTATCATTCCTTACTAAATGTAGTATTTCATCTCGATGTTCTCCGTCTTTGATATGATTTAAATCAAATTCCTCGTCATTATAATTCGCTTCCGATAGTGAAAAAGTGACACAGAGGTTATTGAAAACGAAAAAATTTCAATTGACAAATTAGTCGGTATTCTCGACACAGCAATTATAGGACTTAAACAGCGGCACTTTGTAACTGAAGAAGAAATTATTTCTGTTTATAGAATTAAAGAGAATGTATTATAACATAAAAAACGAAGCATTTTAAACAACTTACATTGAAAGAAATGTTTAATAAAGTAAACAAATAAATATTAAGCTTTTTCTTTGTAAATTTTGATACCCTTTAGATCAAAATTGTTCTTTATTTCATAGATTACGGTTTCATATTTTTAATTTTATAATTTCTGCATGCCATTTTACCAGATTTAAACTGATGATCTAAAATCTGGAAAAATTGATAATCTGGAATCGCCGAAGTCCCAACGAGTCTGGATTAATGACTTTTGACTGTATTAAGAAACTGAAAAATTCCACTACAAAGACAAAAATTTTTTGTGTTAGACTATTAGAGGTTGTATAGCCACACTACAAATTATAGCTGCAAAGCAGGCTATATTGCACAGCAATCTCTGCAAGCTGTTCAATACCATCTGCAGCACCAGTCAAATTTTGGAAGCCACCCTAAAGTCTAACTATTTTTAACTATACATCACAGGCACCTATGACTGTAATAATACCTAGAACATAACAAATGGAAAGGAAAAATGACATGATGTCACTTTTCAAACATATTCCCTTTCTGTCTACAGCACCATGATGTAACTGGGAGTACTACAATGACAAAATGAACAAATCCCACATTAAGATACCATTCTGGCATCTGGGGCTATGATGTTACATGTAATGCCTATTATTTCTTATCTAGTCTGTGTTTAAAATGTATTCCTACCACGGAAAAAAACCACTGTTACAACTTTGAGATGGTATAGCTTGCTACTGTTCATCGTCACAACAAGTTGGATATCAGTTATCAAAAGTATAATCATGGGTTATTGCAATCTCATTTCAAAAACCTTGAAAACTACTCATTTCAAAAACCTAAATATCCAATTATAATCTAAATAATTCAGGATATTACTGCAAAATACATACATATACTGTGCATACACTATTTTCAAATAAATTTACTGATGCAAAAAATGTAATACAGTCAAAAGTCTTTAATCCGGACTCGTCGGGACTTCGGCGATTACGGATTATCGTTTTCCGGATTATAGATCATCAATTTAAATTTGGTAAGATGACATGCAGAAATTATAAAATTAAAAATATGAAACCACAATTTATGAAATAAAGAGCAATTATGATCTAAAGGGTATCAAAATTTACCAAAAAAAAGCTTAATATTTATTTGTTTACTTTATTAAACATTTCTTTCAGCGTGCACATGCGTAAAGCATACATTACGCATAGTCGAAATTAGAAAATTGCAACCAGAAAACTATTTGATGTATATTCGTGATATTTATAATGATGAGGAATTTGATTTCAATCATATCAAAGACAGAGTACATCGAGATGAAATACTACATTTAGTAAGGAATTATAAGCTGAATAAAATAAAAACATCTGCCTTCAAGATAAGGATAGTGCTGACAGATCAACTTCCAGTTCATTGCGCGCCACAACGTGCAATACAGGGAAGATACTTCTGTTTTTCACCTGCTCTCAACATGAATATTTCAGCCCATATATCATTTTCTCTCACTTCTCAGTTTTCCTGAATGATATATTTGTTTTAAAACAAAATTTAAGCATTATAATGAATGAACATTTCCCAAATCCAGAAATTTCAGATTTCAGAAAGCAAAAAAAAAAAAAAAAAAAAAAAAAAAAAAAAAAAAAAAATCAAAAAGTCTGCCTATATCTGGACCATAAAGACTTCTGGATAATGCATGACCCCACTGACATATGGCATCTAACTAGTCCTGTTTACCCACTATGTTAAGACTTTTTTCTTGGTCCAAGCACTGACTTAATCTGCTGACTGTTAAATATAAATTGAACCATACTACCTGTATAATAATAATCATTTCACTTACATATAATAAATATAGCTCCTTTATAGTTGACCATTAAAATACTGCACAGTAATGACCATATACAAAATTAGAAATGAAAAAAAAAAAAAAAAAAAAAAAAAAAAATATGTCAGGAAACTTACTTTTCCATTCAGGATCAGGATCAGAAGCAAATGTATAATAAATTGGGCCAATTATTTCATTCATACCCTAAAGCCAAAATTTTTAAATTACTACTGAATGAATATATAAAATTATAATCAATCTCAGCAATTTAATTAAGTAACAATCAACACAAGAAGACTATAATGCTAAATACAAAAATATCAACAATATTGAATACAATTAATTCAAAGACAGTATTATCATATTTAACATTGGACTCAATAATAATGCTAAATATGGAAAACAATTAAAACATGAAAGCATCAATATTACTGAAATAATGTAATTATGTTAAAACAGATATAAATAACAATGAATACACATAATGGAATCAAGAGTTTTACCAATAATTAATGTAAAGGAAAGGAATTCCTAATAAAAAATGCAGGAGGAAATGTACATAATCATGTCAAAATAACAAGAATGTGTATTTCAAATTCTAAGCATGCAATGAAGTCAAGAATTCAATTTTAGCAATATATTAAACTGTAAGGATAAAAACTCTCAAAGTTGTATATCTATCTCGAAACTTAAGCACACAGATATCTTAATAACTTTAAAAACATGCTTATAAAATTATTATGTACTTGATAATAACTAGTCAACAAATATATATCTTCCTACTGCAGCCTCATTCTCAAACTTCACCATGATCTTTTAACTTCATGCTCAGTTTTGTTGTGAAACTGCAATGTTAAAAAATGCAAACACATTGAAAGAATGGAGTAGAAAATTAACTCCAAAGAAGCTGAATCACATTTCCACCACATGATAAATTTATTGATAATGCAAGAAGTTATCAATCATGTTTTGTCAAGAATGCTCAACATGACCTACCAAGAATTGCATCAATTACTTTAAAATATCAAAACACACAAAAAACTGATATTCCCAGTAACTAAATTATGGCCAAAATTACATAGCTTCAGCCCTAATTCATGGCAATGACCAATGTGCTAAAATTAAATTATTTTTTCATTTCTAGCCAGGAATAATTTTTCCAACCAGAATTTACCACAATGTAACACAAGGAACAAAATATATTCTAAAATTTATTTATTTTTATGTACATCTGTTATAATACAGTCATTTATTTCCTGAATTTTTATTGAAGTGTAACAACAGCCATTTATTGTTTATTTTCAGAATAATACAGTACAAAACGCAAAATATAGACACTCAATAACTCGAATGATTTATTATTCAAGGCTCCCATATAATTTTTTATTAGCACCAGAGGTGCTATTAATCTTAAAACTCACTTTGTATCACTTTTCAAATTGCTGCTAGCAAATGTTATCATGATGTATTATATTTTGTTTTTAAATCACCAAGAATCTGCATGCATATATGTATGTGGAGAAACAATGACACTCAGACCAATTGAATTAATACATGTAGTCCTCCACCCAAACATAGGCACCTCTATGCCTGGATTTTGAATTTATTATTTCATATTTTGTACAAAAATAACATATTTTTGTTTAACAAACTTAGCGAAATGAAAGTGGGAAATGACAACACTGTTCAAAATAAAACATTTTTCTCTCCAGCATGCCAGATTGCTGCAATCTGGGTAAATGCAAGATATTTATCTTTCAATTTTAATTCATAAATTTTGCTATATGAAAGCAATCTATTGCCATTGCCTCAAATATTTACTACCTCCATGCACTACAGTGCTGACATTCTGTAAAGCATAAAATATTTAACTTTCAAATTTAATCTTTCTGTGAATAAGTAGCAAACCAAGTAAGTGAAAAGCAATAGATGCAGTTCTTAAAGAATACTTTTTGCACTTTTTAATCTGATTGATTTAAATAAAAATGTATTTAAATCATAAGATGTTGAATTAGAAATATTAAATATTTTTATGAAATGACACTAACCAATATATATTTTTCCTCTTTAATGACAACTTTTTTAGGTAGTTGGCCACTTCAGTGGCTACTTTTCAAAGAAATAATACAATAACTATAAAGGAAATGTATGGCAATGGCCAATTATTCTTGATATCAAACTTTGCATTAACTGATAAAATAATTCAATAATTTTCTCATTTCTTAATACATTGATGTCACCAAGATTTTTCAACCCTACTTATGAAAAATAACTTTTTATCTCTTAAACACACTTTTGTGTCAGTTTCCTTTTTAAAAAAATTTTAATATATCTGGCATATGAAAAGCAGAGAAATATATTCAATATAACCCCCCCCCCCCCCCCAAAAAAAAACAATAAATTAATATAAATAAAAAGTCTGAAAGTTTTCAGATTTCACATTACGCACAAAGGGGTGTTTTTTTAATGTTTTTTGTGCTACTTTTATTTATTAAATATCATGTTCTTTGCACTTAAACCATAAAACTCAATTCAACAGCAATAGTGTAAAATAATTTTAAAATGAACATATCCTTAAAATTTCCAATACACAGTCAGATGTGCTGGAGATTAAAAAAAAAATTGTTTTTTCCTGTACAGTGTTGCTCGCTTTGAAATTGTTGAGTTTCTTAATAAAAACTCATAAATGCTTTACAAAATATGAAAAAGATAATAAAACAAATTCTAAATTTGGGCTTCCAGATGCCCATATTCGGAGGATGATTACATTATTCAAAATTTGATGGCTCTACGTACCGTTGTTTATCACAATACGAGAAACATACATATATTTATGAAGATTCTTCATTATTTAATTTCTTTAAATATAACACAGGGCGATAGTATTTGGTGGCAATAGTTTGAAAAGTGAATCGACGCAAAATGACAAAATGAAATTAATAGCCTTCTGAGCTAACACTCCCTTTGGGCTAAAAAGAAAAAAAAGAAAAAAAAAAGAAAGAAAAAAAAAGAGGATCCTCTTATTTAGTTTGATTTAATTCAAGCTGACAATCCTTTTGCTGAATTTCTGAATCTATTATAGATATTTTTTTTTAATTTAAACAAAGCATCAAACAAGAAATGTGCCTAATTTTTTTATATCTACTTCAGTTCAAGTTAATTTTAATCAGACAAAAAATGAGTGTTTTGCATATTATTAAAAGATAACATTCCAAGCTATTTCATTAATTAAATTAACACATTCACTGCATCTATGAGAATACTTGTAGTTGGCAAAACTGGGTTTATTTGCCAGCTACAAGATAACTCGTTACTGGCCACTTTACTCAAATGATAAAATATGAGTATTGCTGTAGTAATGCACGCAACGCTTGGGAATTTCGTGCGAGACTGGGACTAAGTAATACACTTGGCATATTGAAATGGAGAATTCATTTCTCAAAATTATAACTAAATGTTTAGAATACAAAATCATTTCCTATTTTGAGAGGGGTTTATTCATTTGGGAAATGTTATAAGTGGGTTGCTCAAAGTTTTGTTCAGAGGCTCAAATAAAACTAATGGGAAATAAAGTATCCCATGTGTGGAGCTTTGCATGAATGTGCAGAAAAGGTGAGTACTGTTTATCTAGTTCTGAGTTATCTCGTAGCTGCCAAAGGGAGCAAAAGTAGTATTTTATATGCCAACTAGAAGTATATTCATGCGAATTTACTTACGTCTAAAAGTTATCTATTATACATATATTTATATAATAAAACAAAAATAACTTGAATGCATAAAAATGCAGATAAGATCTTGGTGCATGTGAACAGATGCACTTAATCAGCTTGGCAGCGAATATGTTAAGCTTATGTTCATTAAAAAAAAAAAAAAAAAAATTTAGCCTGAAAATTAAATGTTATATATATATATATATTGTTAAATTCACACACACATATATATACATATATAAATTCTTAATACTATTGACTAATAAAGCTAGACTAATAAAGCTATGTATGTAAAAATACAAGATAAAATGAACTCTCATCTTCAACTTAAAATCTTTCTAATATAGAGTATACAGCCTTTCTTAACTATGGCAAACTTCATGTCATTTAAAAGCAGGTAAGTTCATCAAAATCAAACATAATATAAGATTCATTAAAATATTTAGTATGATTATGGAGTAAATGTGCCATAAACACAAACAGATAAACTGAATGATATTATATTTTGCAATATGTGAACATTTTAGGTCTAATCTCAATATGTGATCTTAACCTTAGATCAGTCAATAGAACAAAAAGCTGTTAGTCCGCTTATAATATTTTGACTTGAGACAACAAAGGTCACAACTTGTGATTTCAGAAATATGAAATAGATAATTATTTCATCAATCATAGAAAGATACTTACTTGCACATAGCTCTGTCCTGGATTAAGTTTGGCATAGATGAAAAGTATCCGTTCAACAACTTCCCAGTGAGCTTCTTGTCCACACGATAAATGCTGATATTCTTCCTGTGCTCTTTTTTTGAACAATGAAACCTAAAAATTAGAAATAACAGATAAAAAATTAACTAGAATGACAGGGCAAAATTTCAAACATGTAAAGCTAAAAATATCAGCGAATTATAAACATCATATAATAAAGATTGCTTTGGATACTAAGAAAGTTGAAAAAAGTACGAAATGATTTGAAAGGAATGAATTTCATCATAGCAAGCAAATTGTGCTTAGTTCCTAAACCAGAACTTCAAAAATGCAGCTTTCAAATTCTGATTTCTCAATGGTTTTAAAATTATACATACATTTCAGAAAAGAAATAGGTTTCTTTGATCTAAAACAGATATTTATCATACCATAACCATTTTATTTAACAGATTTCTCATCTTCTGAACCTGCTGCTCTCACTTACCAAGATAGTTTCATGCAATCAAGATTTTAAGACATTCCAAGGCTATCCTAAATGACTTGACTGTCATTTTGCCAGACACCAAAAAGATTTTTTCAAGCATTATGAAACGACTGCATGCATTTCAATGAATGTCACCTATGTTGCATCTATGTTGAAGTTGACTATGCAACATTTTATCATATTAAAAAAAAACATATAAAATGCTCAACTAGTATTTCACAAGAACTTTTGAGCCCAGGCATTTTATAAATGTTTATGTTTCTTATCACCTAGTTCAGTTTGACAACTTACTGTAATAATTCCACAGTTTTTTTGATTAATTCTAGGACAATAGCATTTGTTTAAAACCACAATTTTTAGTCAGTAACTATAAGTAAGTGTCATTTTTAGTACATAGTTTAGTTAGTTTTTATACTTCACAATGTAATCCATTTTAATACAATCAGTGTCCCCCTTCCAGTAGTCGAGTGGAAAAGGGTTTAAATACTGACTGTTTAAACTGGATTCAAATCTTGGGGGAACAGGCTGTCTGCATCAGGCCTATGAACTAATTTCCCTCAGGAAGCTTTCCATGAAAGCAGCACCATTTTCTTTCAACAGAAAACTCTTGAGTGCTTTGCTACAACTGAAAACAAACAACAGACTTAATGCAGGATATATTAGACAATTAACCTACTGAAAAATGGAATGAACCTAGCCAATTCTCGTTTTAATAAATATGATAGATCTTAATTTCTAGATAAAAAAAAAAAAAAAAACTATCAGCATTTAGTTAAACAACATTTTATTTCTAAAAGTTTTATTCTTAGTTAATTTCATTTAAAAAGTAATGTAAGAGAAAAGTCTAGAGGTACAATAATTAAAAATTGATATGTAAACACACAGAAAGAAAAATTTGAAACAGAATAGTTAAGAATGAAGTAAAAGTTTAAAGAATTGGTCTTTCCTATTAAAAGTTTAAAGCATGTTAACAGTTAAATCTTAAAGACCAATTTTCTGTAATTCCTAATTGTTTTATAAAGAAATCATTATATGCAAATTATAGATGGAAGTGAAACATTAACAAAGTGTTGATAAAACAGGCTATTCAATACACTTCTATGATTTCAACCAAAATTGTTTAATTAAGTATCAATACTGAATAATTTTTCACACAAGAAACAGTCTACTTACTTTACATCAAGCTTCTTAATATTTTTAAATCAAAAAGTTACTGGATTCACTGATTGTCATAATATTTAAATCATTTTATAAAGCAGGTTAATAACTATTAACTAAAATTTAATACTAATTCATACTATTAATAATTCTAATTCAAACTGTTAATAACTATTAACTAATATAATATTAATCCATACTAAAATCATTTGTTTTACGTTCCATGATGAAATTCTGGCAAATATTTCATTTACTGTCGTGGTTATATGTACATTGCAAAGAGTAATGTTAATCTTCCATTACATTAAAATTAGAAAATGCTGATAAAATGTACAGTTATAATTTGGAAGCAAAAAAAAAAAAAAAAAAAAAAAAAAAATCTTGGATAAGCTTTGTACTTTACTGGGAGAAGATTTTCTTTACACATGCATGCATACACAAAAACGAAAAACATATTTCGAGCATCAGTAATATTTATATACAATGCTTGAATCTGATAGGGTTAGAAAGCAGTAAATAATCCTGTCATTTTCATAACAATGCAGAGTCTACCATGCAGTTAAATAAAATACTTTTAAAATAAATTATCCTGTAAAAAATGTTACCTTTAAAGCTTACAGTTCATATTTAAAAAAACAAAAACTAACATTTGTAATACCAAGTCGATTCCTGGTAACATTTGCGGATCTAAGTACTGTTTGTTCCACTCTATCTCTTAAAGATTCAACATCTTTTTTCCCAACTATTGATTCGCAAGGATAATCTGTAGCTTGCTGGAAAAATGAAATATCAGGGCATAGTCGTCTGCAAAATAATACGAAAGAAAATAAAACAAAACTGAGCATTTTAAAAATCAAGCTACATAAATAAGACAATTAAAATTAAAAACAATTCCATGAGAATTTTCAAAAGCACTTGTTTGCCCAATAAATCAAAAAGATTCACAAAGAGAAATAAACAGCTTACATTTAATAAATATTTGCCATTAAAAATAAATTGACAATATTTAAAAAAAAATAACATTTGTCATTATTGTTTGAATCTTTATAAATGATTAAAGTTTCAGTTGGCATGACTGAGAGATAATTTTATCCATTTATGTAAACAGAGAAAAGTATATCATAAATAACTTCCCTAATTGAAAATTAGCATCTAAATAAAATCTTAGTAAATATTTTTCACAGAAACTATATTGGTATTAAATAAGTGATAACTAAAACCGCTTTATTTATTTTTTAAACTCGCAGAAAAGAGCAGTAGAAAATCAATGTTTAGAGTTTCATTTGCATCCTAGTGTGTAGGCGTGTTTAAATTAGGGACTTCGGCGATTCCGGATTATCGATTTTTCCGGATTATAGATCATCAGTTTAAATCTCGTAAGATGGCATGCAGAAATTCTAAAATTAAAATATGAAACCGTAATTTATGAAATAAAGAACAATTATGATCTAAAGGGTATCAAAATTTACAAAATAAATAAATAAATAAAAGCTTAATATTTATTTGTTTACTTTATTAAACATTTCTTTCAATGTAAGTTGTTTAAGTTGCTTCGTTTTATGTGATAATAATTTCTCTTTAATTCTATAAACAGACATAATTTCTTGTTCAGTTACAAAGTTCCACTGTTCAAGTCCCGTTAATTGCTGTGCCGAGAATACCGACTAACTTGTCAATCGAAATTTTTTTGTTTTCACTAACCTCTCTGTCACCTTCTTCATGTCTTTATCCATTTTTTGCAGCAATTCCACTTTTTGTTTGATGGACATCGAAACATACTTTCGTTTTGTAGATACTTTGGGAGCTCCAGCATCGGAAATTCTATTTGACATAATCGAAAGTTCAAGTTAACTTTCATAAAATTGCTTTTACAGTCTGCAAAAAATAATAAGCCGGATCCACTTCGAAGATTAAGGAACAACACAATCATCAACATTAACTGAAATAGATAATTAGATAATTTTAGCTTATACCGTTCGTTATACATTAAACGCACACGCGCTGTCGTAAAGGTCTTAAGCGCACGCGTAAACGCCTATGCGCATGTGTCAATGCGGCGTATGCGCAGAAAGTTTCTAGCTTTGAGGTCCGGATTATAGATCATTCCGGATTATGGGTGTCTGAATTAACGACTTTTGACTGTACTTTATTTGAAAGTCCAAGAAATCACACACAAAATTCTACAAGCACCCATTTTTTGCCTAAAGTTAATTAACATGTATATTTTTATTATACTACTTAATGTCTAAATATGGCTCAATTACAATTTCAAGTTCACCTGTACAGAGAAGAAATTTACCAGTTTCTTTGCAACAACAATAAACAGTAAGATGAAACAAAATGCTAGCTTTGCAAATTTTGAAAGAGCATAAAGTATAGCACAATGGATGACTTAAAGAGTTAATTAAATAAAAAAAATGATAGTGAAGTGATTAAGGCAAAGGAAAGTACATGATAGTTATCTTCTTATACATAGAAATGGCTTTGAAATGGACTAGGAAGTGGCTCATTCATGCTATGGCGGAAACATGAAATGGCAAAAATATGTTATGGTGAAAACATGAAAACACCTATACAACGGCTCATTTGCCAGGAATTAAAACATAGACAAATTACCAATATTCAATCATTTTATCCACGCTGCCACAATTTTTTCAATGTACTAGAAAAATGTTATGATATAATAACATTTTAACAAATGAAAATTTAAACATTCTTCAAGGACAGAGCATTATCTGCCTTAATTTAAAATTTTCACAACTCAATTAGTTCCAGTGTTTTTGTTCATATGAGCAATCAGATCCTTAGCAGCTTAGAATGAGATTCAACAACAGTAATACTAGGAAATTTGGAACATATTACCAATTGAAATAAAATGTATATGTACATTGTTACAAAAATAAATATTTACCTTACATCTTTATTTATCTGCAGTAAAACTTCATTGTCTTTAAAATATGCCATCCATTTCCCATCAGGATTAGGATTAAGAGGCTAGAAATAATCAAAAAAAAATTTTTATTATTATTAAGAATTTATTAGAAATATTACAGATTCTATATAAAGATTCTATATAAATTCTGTATAAGAAATGTTACTGGTTGGAAAATACAGCAGATTCTGACTGATTGGATTAGCAAAACAAACATTTATTGCAACAGACCTTAACAAAAAGAAACTATCTCTTCCCGAAGAATGTGATGCCTACATTCAGAAGCCACTATCAATAATAACATTAATGAAATAACTTTTGCATGAATTATCATTATAATTTTCTGCTACTGTAGTGATTCTGTTATATTACAAAGTGCTAGTTAACATGTTTAAGGATCCAGGTAGAATTATGGTTTCTCTTCAAAACTGTAAAGTATCAAAACAGGCTCCATATAATTTTAAACTTCGAACTGGCAAGCATCCTATACAATTCTAGCAAACAGTTTGGTCACAATGTGAAGCTAGTGAAACTTAAGTGCTCTGTGACTTCTCTACATAAATACTTTGTTTATAAAAATGAGGCTTAATAAGACTTTTACTGTATATAAAAATAAATGCGCATAAAATTTAATAGTTTATTTGCTGACGTTTTCCATCTGTTGACAATTTTTTTTTAACAGTTTCTTATAGTAAAAACCTTTCTTCCAAAATAAATATGCTTAATGGTATCGCTTTTAGGAGATAAAAAGCATTACAGAATAAATTTTCAAAATCTTTGCAAGAAGATAATGACAATGTTTCTTTTAAAATGAAAGCAAGCATTTAAAATAGATTTGATTACTGAATAAAATGGAGGACTATCTGTCTCACAGAAACATGTTTTTAAGGAAGGCTTTTGAATTTTAACCTATAAAACTTACATCTTTATGCAACACAGCTTCTCAGGAATTAAGCCATTCACACTTACTTTCTTTTCATTCCTTCATTTTCACAGAATTTTATTCATATTCATAGTTTTTTCCCCTCCTTGAAGTTACACAGCATTGGAAGAAATTAGCAGAGATAAAATGAAGTTTATTTCTTTCTCTTAATTGGCCCAACTGTTTAGTAATTTTCTCACTGCTTCTTCACTCTTTTTCTAGCTAAGATGCTTTCAGATGTATGACTCATGGGACTTAAAAATTTTGAAAATTTTTGACATCAGGCTTTGTATAAAATTTACTTTACAGTTAATTGTAAGTGCATCATATCCAAGTGCTTCATGTAACAATGCATATTGCTTGAAATTCACAGAGGGAATAAACATTTATGCCAGCCAAATGCTTTTACTGTGTACCACCTCAATGAATCATTTTTGCACCTACATTCCATTATAAAATCTGTTTATTTTGGTCCTCTCTCTGAGTCTCTATATTTTTGTCAGATATTTTTAAATACCTTGAATAATCACAACACGATAAATTAGATATTAGACCAAAATATTTATTTTGCATAAGTAAAACGAAAACAGTAATTACGGTTGAGAGAAAATAGTATTTATAGGAATACACCATAAGCACAAATTAGTGAGCCAATCAACAAAAGACAAAAAATTTCATATTTATAGACAATATACAAATTTAAAAAAATGCACTTCATTAAAAAAAAAAAAAAAAAAAAAAAAAAAAAAAGGTCTTACATGGTCGTCTAAAGTAACATCAATACGAGATCCAGCTTTATTTTTTGATCCTGGTGTAACAATCATTTCTTCTACAAAATGATCATATAAATTTCTGTTTAGAAAGGAAAGTACAATTAAAATGTGAAGGATATGAGAGAAACATATAACAAAATAAAACTCAGTATGCATACAAACAAAAAAGAAGCTTTACTTTAAAATTAAAAATATAAACTAACTTCTAACATAACATTCTAAATCAAACAGTCTGGTTATAGTCAAGCTCACTAAAATCCATTTTAATTTATCTACCAGATGGATTCTTAATCTCGCTGATAAACAACTTGATTTGGGCCACACAGCTATCTTTTTTCCTGGATTACATTTTTGACCTTATTCGTTACCTTTAACCACCCTCAGGTAACCATTAAGTTCAGGTAACCCCTCAGTAAACCATTTAGAAATACCCTCATTATGAGGAGTAAGTACTTCATATTTTAGGTAGAATTAGAACAAACTAAGACTGATTTGACTGTTGCAGCCCACACTGGTGGAAAACATCACCTTTCCCCCCCTTCCCCCTTCCTGCAACTGAAAATTTGTGGTAATATTTTATTCTTGCAAACAGCAGCTCTTTGCAGCCCCAGAGAGACGGGAATATTATAATTCTCTTTTCCAATAAAATTCACACATCAGTTGTATTGAACAGTGACCTTCGAGACAGAGAAGGCCATGACACTCGTCGAACAAGTCAGAGATGAGTCATGCTTTCTGTCCATCGTTTTTCCACCATTAGTTTTGTAACTACCACGAGGCGTGTGTACGTTCTTGTAAAGCTCTAAATTTGTCAATATAGTTTGTTGTTTAGTGCTGACTTTGTTAATATTGTAACAATGCCTAACCATTGTTGTGTACCTAAGTGCAATTCTAATTATGCTGGAACTGAAAATTATGTGAGTATGTACAAATTTCCAACGGATGAAGCAAAAAAGCAGCTTTGGTACCATAAGATTCCTCGCACGAATTTCATACTATCTAAATGAAGTTTGTGAAAAACATTTTCGCAAAGATATGACTGTGCGTGAAGATGTATTCACAGATAAAACTAGGGCAATTTTAAGAATTCTAAGAAAACGTTCAATGTTAAAACACGATGCATATCCATGCATATTTCACGCATGGACCTTATAAGAAATTGACCAACCCAAATGGCTTTTCTCCCTCTTCTGACGCATTCCGGGTTGACACCTTCATCACATCTGGAGGAGTAGGGACGACTTGCAGAAACTTACAATGGTTGACTATTGCAGTGTGCATAATTGTCAAGAAAAAATTGGTTGTAGCGCCTCATTTCACAAATTAGAATTTCTACATATTTTTATTTTTCAAACTCAGATCGATTTAAAAAAATTTAGCATATTTATCAAGCATAATTAACGTTCCAAATAATTATAAAGCTGTTGCATGCTTTTAGGGCTGGATATTTTTTTAGCTTTTTCTATGCTAAAAGAAAATTTGTAACTACTTCTTTTAGAAAATAATATTTTAAATCTGAACTAATAGAAAATTTCAAATAAGCAATTTTCTCTTGCAATTTTTATGCTTTTTATTGGTATAAATAAGAAAAATATACTAAAATATTTTAAAACGAATTTTTAAAAGTTTTTTTTTAAATTCTAAATTATGCTGTTTTTTAAAAATTATAGATGAGTATGGTAGCGCAATTTCTATGAAGGAATTTTATTTCAATTATATTTCATGATATATCATAGTGATAAAAACTTTTGACTCCTACATTTAATTCTAATATTAAAATTGTATTTTAACCGTAATAATTAATTTGGTTGTATTTTATAATGATTATTTTTTAAATTTATTTTTTCGTTCTGCGTAAGATTTTTTTTATTTACTGTTAATTTAATTTATTAGCCCAAAGGGGCAGTAGCCTAGAAAGGCTGTTAAGTTTCGAAGCGGCATTTTGCGCTGTTTCACTTTAAATGTCCGTTTCTCCTTTCAAATTGTTGCTACCAAATATTATCGCCCTGTATTATATTTAAAGAAATTAAATAATGAAGAATCTACATGAATGCATGTATGTTTCTCGCACTGTGACAAAAACGACAGTATCTAGAGCTTTCACATTTTGAATAATGTAATCCTCCACCCGAACATGGGCATCTGGACGGTCGAATTTGTTTTCATCTATTTCATATTTTGTAAAAATTTAACGAATTTTTAATAAAGGGAACACACAAAACGTTAAAAAAGGTCCCTTTTGGGCATAATATAAAATCTGAGTGCTCGTAGATTTTATTCCATCTTTTTTTCCCCCCTTCATTACACTCCAAATTTTATGAATTATTAAAATAAATAATTCACTTTAATGTTAGTAATTTAATGGTCATAAAATCAAATAAAATGATCGTTTTGTAATGTTATTATAGTTTGGAAAATCACTGCCTGAAAATGTTCATTAAATTAAAAAAATTATCAGATCTTGTTTAATTTTACCTTATTTATTTCAAAGCATCACGTATTATCAATCTTATTTAATTTTACTTTATTTGTATGCAAAATTAAGTTCATAAATTTTGTGCTTAGAGTTTTTACTGTTTTACCAAAGTAAAGATGTGCGTAAAAAAATTACGCGTGGAAAAAATGCGCGAAATGCAGTAAAAAGTGCCTTAATGAGATATATTAAATCCTATTTGAAAAAAACTGTGACTTTCATAATCTAATCACTATATAACGTATCACATTTAATAATTAAAAACAGTTATGTGGTACAAACGCCATAGGTTTCAGTGTTAAAGTAAACCAGATCGTCCCTACTCTTTCTTGCGGACATGTCGGTGACGTGCGCCCCACCCACTGGGTTAGTGTATCTCTTATAAGGTCCATGATTTCATGGCTGTGATGTGGAGTTAAATGTATCAATGAATGCTTTAATATATATAGCTGGTTATTGTGTACATTCTTTGAAATTGCAGTGTGTATTCTGCAAAGAAAAGATCTTAAGTTTGGATAATTTATTGATTGAGGAGGGAGATTATGATAATCTTCTGTTATCTCAAACAACAGAAACCAAAGATAAATGCACATATTTAGATATGGTAAGTAGAGGTGGTCTTAAGAAACTGTCCATACTATTTTTTAATATTATAATCCATAGTTGTTGCATATTTAGAAAACTCATATCAAAGAAATATGAAACACATTTTCAAAAATGCCAAAATCAGCTTTCAGTCATTATTTCACTTTTTAAAATATTTATACGTAATAGTGGGCTACTTTGTAGTGAAATATGTCAGTCTTGCAACTGTGATTTAGAGTCATGATAAATGGGATTAAAAAAAGTTTCACTGTATGCTATTTCCTGAAGAGAGTTTTTAATGCATGTGGTATGCTACTGTGCATATTTAAAGATTTTCTGTGCAGTTTATGCGAAAAAGTTTACTGATTTTAGAAAATATATTTTTTGAATGAAATTATCATGATTATTTCAAAGAATAGAATATATTAAGGTATGATAGAAAGAACAGATGTTATAAAACCACTATAAATAACAATAAATATGAATGTTTAATTATATGATTTTTGTTATTATATTTAAGTATAACTTTAGCTTTGTTGCTTAATTTGATATATGTGATAATAAGGAAGCAATAAATTTTAAAAAATGATTTTGACATGCTGTTTAATGAAGAGCAGATTTTAATGCACATAGTAAGTTATTGTGTATATTATTGAAAGCTCTTCTATGTAATATGCAAAGAAAGGTTAATGATTTTAAAAAGCATATAAATGATAATCGTAATTCCTATTATCCTAAAATTTAGAAGCTAAAATATGTATATGCACCTGCATATGATTGAAAGAAATGGTGTTAAGAAATATCAGCATTACTACTAAATATTGTAATCCATAATTATTGCATTTTAATCATATAATATTTAAAAAACATTAAATTTTACACTAAGTGCAAATCGAGTTCTGTTATTTTTCTGTTGGAAGTTGTAATATAGCTCTTAGTATGAATACGAATGTTGCAAGTTATGTTTTTTAATTATTACATTTGAATACATTCCATCTTCATTGTTAATTTTTGTACATGCTTGTGATAGCAATAAAATTCATGATAAATGGGAAAAACTTTTTGTTGTGTGCTATTTAATGAAGAGCAGATTTAAATGTTCAGTTCTTCTATTGCGTATATTATTCAAATCATTTCTGTGTAGCACCCAAAGAAATGCTATTGATTTGAAAAAATGAATAAAATGGCCGTGAGAATCTGTCAGTTGTCTAAAACAAGTATATATATATATATATATATATCACAATCATCAGCATTGCTACTAATTATTGTACTTTTAAGAGCTTGCTATTTAAAAAAGACTAAATGATTTTTTATTAATTGGAAATAGTAGTTCTATTACTTTTTTGTGGTAACTTTCAAACACTGCATAGTTTATGTGTTTTTTAAAAACATTGCCAGTTGTGTAGGTTGTTTGTTAGGTTATCTCATTTCAAATATGAATGTTGGAAGGCCTTTTTGTTATAAGATTTAGGTATGTTTCTTGTATGAAATATTTTTTATCACATTTATTAGCTAATTTATATCGTATTTCATTTACATACGTTGGAGATATAGAAGTTGATGGTTATATATTTCACTCTGAAATGCAAATAAATTAATACTTGAGCCTAGGTAAAATATTAATTATTATCTTAAGAACCCCTTCCCAATTTATCATGACAGTGGCAGTTTTCAATCAGCGTTTAAATTTTTGTGAAATGTTCGTTTGTTCTTTGGTTCTTTCAATTATATTTATGCACAAAGTTAATTAAAATATCTGTAAAAAGCCTAAAAAGTGAAAATAATGTATATAAAACCTCCTTTCTCTCAGCTACTTTAATTAAATAAGCAATATGATATAGTTATATTTCCGATGAAAATTTTAAAATCCAGATGACTTTCCGACGATAATATCGGAGGAAAGCTCCGCCATGTTTATCAAGTGTCATGGCCTTCTCCCTCTCGAATGTTAAGACTGAACTGATCAGAGACCATTTCAAAAAGTCAGACGTTTTTATCAGACTTAAATATTGATACACTAATTCATAACACCCAACTAAATTTCTTTTGACGGAAAATAAACTTCCTTGCAAATTTTATTTGCAGAAGAAATTCAGTTTCCATCACTAAAAGAAACTTAAAATCGTGCAACTGATAAGGCTTTTTATTGCTCTCTGAGGGACATAAATAAATGATGTCTTTAAGACATTTCTCTAAGTCCATTTCAATTATTCTCATGTACGTCAACATTAGTACTTGTTACAAAGAGTATCTCTTCTTGATCAATAACACTAACTCCATAGTTCTAGCTGAAAAAGTATCACTCCCATTAATTGGATCCCGTATTTAGGTATATATTTACACATGATAGACAGCACATAGGTCAAACATAAGGGGGGAGGAGGGAACTAAACTATTTTCAGGAAACTTAAATTTTGAATTTTATCTAGAAAAAATATTAGTTGTAGTCTCATGAAGATGTCAACAAAAAGTAGCAATTTTTGGGGGGGGCTTGGGAGAATTCTAGACTCCATAACAAATGTTTAAACAGATCTCATGTACAGCTATTTAGCATTTCCCCCCCTTTTTTTGGATGCCACTTCTCCCTTTTGGTTTTCTCTTAAAATATTTCTGCTTGCTTCAATTTTTAGTATTCACAATTCTTCTTTTGGGATTTATTCTTCTACAGAGTTAAGCATGTGGAAATGAATATTCTTCTATAGAGTTAAGCATGAATTTTTTCCCATTTACTATTAATCACCTTTTTCTAAAAGAACCAGTTTGCTTTGATAAAAATTATTCAAAGCATTTTTTGTAAAAATAAATAAATAAATAAAAAGTTCTGAAAATATACTTGCATAAGAATTTAGACACTCTGAACGAACAGTTTATATTTTATAAAAACAGGAAAATAATAAAACATTTAATTATTTATTGGATGTACGTTAGTTAAAATTACACTTTTCATGCACTGTGACATTGATTTAACAAATTATTTTCATGTAAGAATGACTTATTTTGTATAATTCTCCATAGAAATTGGTTTTTGAAGAAATGTTATGTTTCTCTATTCGTTCTCCAACTTACACCATTCATATTTCATAGATTTAGGCCTGGAGAATACAGAGAAGTTTTGACAACTTTAGGACAGTTGTATAACCACCACAAGTGAACATTTAATTCTCTATGTTTCGGATCATTACCCCGATAGAATTTGAATGATTTTGCATTCCAAATTCCTTGTACATATAATATCTTGATGATACTTATAACAAACAAGGTTTCAAAAATAAAAGAAAAAACACTATATTAGGGGAAAAAAATTTAGAGTTTATGTTTCAGTATTTAGTCCAAGATCTAACTAAATAAATTTCAAAAATGCAAGTATCCACAAACATATATAAGACACTATAGTCGATTTCCAACATCCTTTTAATTTTCTGTATATTCATGTTGTTCCTGTTCTGTCCGTCCCCCGATAGTTTTTTTTTTCCTTCACTTCTTGTTTGCACCCAATAATAAGGTTATAACATTGCACGCCTCCAACTTGCACGCAACCAAGAGGTGACTGTATAAGCTTGTATAAAAGATAGAGCCTTGTGAAGGGTTTAAGTCCCTTTTTATTCAACGTAATAAATTACAATTGCGTTCTCTTGACGCTTACAGACGGTGCCAACTCGGCAGTCAAATAAAAATAATAACCTGAAAAGAAACTAAAGACAAGATTCTAACTACGAGGCTCTCTAAAATAACTAACTCACCGCGTTTTACAATACCGCTGCTAATTCAGCAGACTTGAAGCTCACTGGAACGATTACCACTACTTCCCGCCAAGCACATAGGCCGCAACGCGGGGTTCTTCAATTCTCGCTAACTACCTCCGCGCTCGCTAAGTAAGAATATCACACCGAACTCGTTTCCTTCTATTTAAATCAGAATACTTCCGCTGATAATTTGAATCCTTGCGCGTTCTACTCAAATTTACATATTCTGGCATTAGCAGTTCCAGGAGAAAGTAAGGCTTGACAGTAAAGATAGTTTAAACTTAAAATAAATGTTAGTTAAAATAAATATAAACCCTACAAGGTACATTTCGTATCTTAGTTTTTGTATCTTATATAGAGTATGTTGAATCTTGCCTCTTTAGGACAGTACAAAGTCCGAAATATGGACATCCATTATTCGCAATGATCTAAAATCCGGACCTCAAAACTACCAACAGCATTTTTCTTGTAAGCTTTACGCATGCACATTTGATTCCACCTCCGCACGTAATAAAACATCTGGAGAGTCCCAATTCTTAATTTCCCTTCGACACTAAATAAATAATTTGTTATTGAAGAAACAATCATTTTAGCATAAATTTGTAGGATCAGTAATTTGGCTCCGTTGCTGCGTATCTGCTTAGCACACATCTCAAACCGAAACATTCCACATAGATACATCGTTAATCTGACACCAAACTAGCGAATCATTATTTATAATACTTTCCTTTCATCACTGCATGTTTATCAAAACATGACAACTTGAGTAATGCTCAAGTAGTGATGCCTAAACAATTTTTTATGTTAGTAATTGAATAATAAAGGAGTATGGTAACCTTTTATGCTGACATTACGTTTGGCAATGATTACAGATTTAAGTTAAATGCGCTAAAAAATGTTGATGAGGAAAAATTTACCAAAAATTTCTTCCCATATTCTAAAAATATGTTTTGTTGATAATACTCATACACCCCAAAGATTACATTTAGGGCTATTTGAATTAAGAATAACTGATTTGTTATTCACATAAACCCAGAAACAGTGCCAGGGCTCATATGGTTGCACCGAGTCGCAGAATTTAGGATTGTATCAGGCGGTAAGATACCTAGCACTGGCCCTCAATAAGGCTTAAGTATATGTGGGAATTTATTTATTCAGAACTCTGATAAGCCTTAAGCCCATGTAAGAAATAGACATAAGTATAATAAATAACTAAACTAATACAATTCAGGCTTAATTGTCTCGGTGCGAGATAGAAACAAGATAAAATTTAACGCAACTTGTTGTTAGTCGCCAAGCTCATGATGCATAGCCAAATATGTATAGTGAAGGATAGCTAAATTTGATGACGATGGCCGCTAACGTTAAAGGTTTTGGGATATCGCAAAACAAAGGTGAAATTTTCCAATTAATGAATTTTGTAAAGAAATATGGAGAAGCTGTAATAAATGAAGATGATATAAAAGAGGTTTTTCATTGTGATGACAATGCTTCTCAATCATCAATCAACTGATGGATTGCGAAATCCGTAGTATGTTCTACATCTAGAAAATACCACTACCGATAATGAGGAAAGTGACAGAAAAGTTACTGAAAATGAGAAAATTTCAATTAACAAGTTAGTCAGAATTCTAGAAACAGCAGTTACAAGACTTCAACTATGTAACTGAACAAGAGATGTCTGTCTGTCAACATAATTAAAGAGAAAGTATTAACACAAAACACGAAGCAACTTAAACTTACATTGAAAGAAACGTTTAATAAGGTAAAAAAATAAATATTAAGCTCCCCCCTTTTTTTGTTGTTGTTGTAAATTTTGATACCCTTTAAATCATAAATACTTCATTATTTCCTAAATCCCGATTTCATATTTTTAATTTTATAATTTCTACATGCCATCTTACTAGATTTAAACTGGCGATCTAATATCCGGAAAAATCCAAAATCCAAAATCACCAAAGTCCCAATGAGTCCGGATTTCGGACTTTGTACTGTATAATATCTATCCTTTCACTCTTAATAAGTAACAGTTTACATTTCCAAAAGCTAAAAAAACTATGACTTCTGGATCAGTCCAACTGATTGTAATATTTCCCAAGTAAATATTTGAAAATTATTAATTAAATTAATGAACTAATTCCACAAATTGAGAAGCAATTCTGTTTTATCACAAGCCATTTTCTTTTACATAATTAAAATATTTTAGACAGTAGTTTAAGATAATTAGAAATCAATTTATTGTTTAAAATACTACTGCATAAAAAAGGTTATATATTTACCTTTGCTTTAAAAGTACTGCAGGCCATTCAGCTTTATTTACAGGTAAATAATTTAACAAAATCTAAAAGAAAAATACGATACAAAAATTATATGCAGTAAATAGTATATTCATATAAAAATTAATAGTAATATATATATTCCATCTGAGGAACATCAAAGACGTATATAAATTATCAAATGTTGCACAAATGGTTTTTATTTTCAAGAATTAAAAAAGAAAAAGAAAAAACCCTTTAAAATATCATATATCATGTAATTGAAGAAAATTATTTTTAAAAAAGTTTTTTTTTTTTTTGTTAAAAATGTAATAGAACTCCAGTTATTCAAACTAAGCAGGATCATAACCCATACAAGTTACTAGAAAATCTGGACATTTGGATTGTTTAAGAATTATCTATTTATATCTGTATGTATGCAAAGAAATTTCATATTTTCCATCCTGCTTTTTATTTTTAATAGAGGTTATAAACTTAACAAGAATAAGTTATGGCAATGCGGTGAATTGTAAAATAACAAAAGAACTGTAATCCTACATACAGCATGTTAATTTTTTCCATGTTTATTAAATTACATGCAAAGCCCATTTATTGATATATAATGATATATTATTAATAAAATGTGCATGATATATTTTTTAAGTCACAATAAATTAATTTTCATAATTAGCTAATAAAAATGTCTTCAATGTTCATCTAAATTAATTTAAGCTTTTTAAAAACATCTACATTACACAGTTCCCATCTCCCTGTATTATTTAAATTAACAAAAACATATAAGAATTGACATGAATTTTAACTGGCCTTGTAAGAACAAGCAATTTGGATTAATAAAGTTATATTTTATATTTAATAATCTGACACAAAAACTGAGACTTCAGATTCCAGAAAAAGTGTTGCACAATACTTTTCCTGCATAGCAAGAAATAATTGGGTTGGGGGGGGGAAGAATCAAGTTATGGTCTAAAGTAATGCTTTTACTTTTTAAAGTTCTACTTTATATTTAATAATTTGATGCACGAATTAAGACTTTTTTTTTTTTTTTTTAATGAAAAGATTCCAGGAAATGTACTGCACAGTACTTTTTTCAAATAGTAAAAATAATCAGGGGGGGTTACTTTCTAAATATTAATGGAAGGCTTCAAAGTACTAACAAAAATTTTGAAAAGATATTTCTAAATAAATAATAAATCTGATATACTCTCAAATATTAGCTTTTAAACTTCTAAATGAAAGTTATCATATCTAAGTAAAAACCAATATCTGTTGTAAATTTATAAATCAATATTTACAAAATTCTTATGCAAAACATAAGACAGTATTTTTACAAACGTCATTCAATTCATATGAAATTAAAACAAATTGGAGTGAAATGCTAATTTTCAAACAGCAGTGGTTTAACTCTTTTGCATCAGCAGGGACCAAAATCCGGTCCTCTCAAACATCTGAAACAATCGTGTATACGAATTTCTGTTGGAACGGATTTCCTTTCCCCCCGTATCAAATAGAATGCTACAGCATTAACAATAACTTACTTAAGTGAAGTGATAACTTCTCTCTTGGGGGTCTTTGTGCAGTTTTACACACTGTCTGCTGTTTCCCCTTAGAAGCAGTTTGCATCAATAGCAAAACCTTGAAGCTTAACACAGGACAGAGAAGGTGCATTTAAATAAGAGAGCTACTTTTAGTTGCTTCAAAAGAATGATTGGCATGTTATTTAATAATCTCTAAACCAGTGTGAGCCATGCACTAACATGATGCGAGAAATCACCCGTTAGAAAAGGGATGAAGGTGTTCAGGCAACCTGCCGATTCTGAATGCATGGGCATTTCGGACGACTTCACTATGAAAGAGTTAAACTCTCCAGTTAAACAGAATCAAACTGTTACAGAATGCAATTTATACACCAAATGCTACTACATAATTAACATACATCTATATGAAATTGAAGTTTATCAAAGTCAAAAACGATATTTTTGCTCAAGATAACTTTAAAATAAAACATACAGAAAGCAAAAGAATTATTTTCCTAGAAACAACAACTAAAAAAAATACTATATATTTCAGGAAAAATGCAGTCAATGAATGCACCATATAACAATGCTGTTTGAAATTCTACCCAAGCAATGCACTAAACCAGTGGTGCGCAAACCTTTTTTGACTGCGACCCCTTTTGTAGAGAGAAAATTTTTGCCGACCCCTAGAGATAAATGTTCACAAATACGATGTATATTTCGTGCATTTCTTTCGTTTCATCGAATAAAAACATCATCATATCTGACTCACATTAATTTTATTTATAATTTTAAGAAAATACTTTTTGTATAACACAAAAATCAGTAAATTGCCCTTTAATGAGATGTATGTGGCTGCAAGTTTCTAATTATCTCATCGATGTTTGGATGTATGTTGCTAATTGGAATTTGCATATCATCTTCAGGGTTTAAACGCGAGCGGTATTTAGTTTTTATTGAAACTAGTTTGCTAAATCTAGTTTCACATAAATACGTTGATGCAAATTGTATTAACACTCTGATGACATTCTTGCATAAAACGGTATATTGTTTTTCCACGGATAGCCAAAATTTTTAGCTAGGCTGAGTCTTAAATTGATTTTGAAGAGTATAATCACTAATTAGATCTATCAATTGCTCTTTTTCACTAATTTGAAGAGTTGAACTGCATACGTCAAAGGAAAATGGATCACAAATCCAACCAAGATCGTTTTCAGGAAAATCCTCAAATCTTTTCGAAAAATTTTCCTATAACTTTTCAATGTGATTGGAAATGATGTTTTTAAATGTAAATATATCTATATTATTTTCCTTGATAAAATCGTTAAAGCAAGGGAAATGTCGGTGTTGTTTTTATTCAGTTCAGTTTGCCAGAGACTAAGCTTATTCTTAAAGCTTGAATTTTACTGGCTGAAGTTATGATAGTTGAATTCTCACCCTGCAAGCCCAAATTTAAACCGTTTTTCGACAATATCAACTAAATAGCTCAGCTTCCCTAGCCAAACTTCATTGATAAAATAACTTGCCAATCTATGTTTCTTTACGATTAAAAACATGTACACTTCATTTCTCAAATCAAATATCCGTCATAGTATTTTCCCACGTGAAAGCCATCTGACTTCGGTGTGTAACAGTAATCTCTCATACGTTGAGCCTATCTCATTGCAAAGTATTGAAAAGAGATGGCTGTTGTGGCTGTTGCATTTAAAGTAGTTAATTGATCTAACAGCGTCTTGTAATATGTTGTGCAACTCTTCATCCATATCTTTATCTTGTCGATGAATCATACAGTGATTAAATACCATATGAGGCGCCACCTTCTGAATTAAGCCTCTGAGCCCTTCATTCGAACCTGTTAATGCTGCAGCACCATCAGTACAAAACGCAACACAGTTTGCCCAGGTAAGGGACTTTGTTTCAAAATATTCATTTATTACTTCGAATATTTTTTTCTCCAGTTGTTTTTCCTTCCAAACTTTTGCTACATAAAAATGTTTCTGTTATATCTTCATTAAAAATAAACCTAACATAAATAATTAGTTGTGACATTTTAGTAATATTGGTAGTCTTGTTCAGTTGTAAAGCAAATACAGATGAATTTTGTATGCGTTTTATGACTTCTGACTCGATATTTCGTGACATTTCGGAAATCCGCCGAGACACGGTATCTCTTGATAATGGTATTGTTTTTAGTTCATTTCCATATTTATCGCCATGCATAATTGATGTCATCTTAGTTGCTGCAGGAAGGATAAGGGATTCTCCAATTGTATGGGGTTTCATTGTTTTTCCTATTAGATAAGAAACTTCTAAAGAAGTTCGTAATGCTTTCTGAGGTATTGTTGTAAATTTCTTTAAATGTGCACGTTGATTTTTCAGATTTCCAGTTCTTCTTTGAAAAAAATCGGCATGTTTATTTTGAAGCTCTTTATGTTTAGTTTCCAGATGCCTTTTTAATTTAGCTGGTTTCATGCTCTCATTTGCTAATTTTTTCGTAGCAAATGACACGTATTGGGCATTCTTCATCATCAACAACACAAAATGTAAAACCATACTTAATAAATTCCTCATTGTATTTTCTTATTTTTTTAGATCGGGCATTTAGTTCAGTATTTTGCGACTCCTCATCAGTATTTGTTCGTTTGTTAGTTGAAGATGTACCTGGTGTACGTATTACCCATTTATCCATTATGAAGATACGGGTTAAATTATTTAAACTAAAACAAATAATATATAAAATTTTATAATTTTTTTTGAGAAATTCAATAAAATTAACAGAGATCTTTCTCTAATGATAGTACATACCTGATAACAAAGAGTAGCAAAGCCCGATAAAATATAAAAAATCATAATTACACAACGTCACATGATAAAACTTGAAGGATCAACTAAAACAAACTTGCAGGCCAACTGCTAACATGCTACAACTTCATGCAAACACTTCACATCTTCACTCTGACTATCATATACATCGCGTGCCTCGCCATCTGATTGGTTAATCACGGAAGCGAATTTTTTCCCTTTCACTGCGGTTAACATCTAGTCAAATAGATGCTTTTCAGGAAAACTGGCGAATTACCGCGAAGAGGGCGCTATCTACCGGAGTGAAAAACTTGCGTCTTCACACTTTACATACATTACGCATTACGGTCAAAGAAAGAGCGGACAGCATGAAATTGCAATTAAACAGTGAGTGATGGCGCTTCACTCTTTATATGTACACTGTATGGTATGCAGCATACAGGCATAATGCATTTCATAAAAATTTGGCGACCCTCAAAAAACTTCTGGCCACCCCTAGTTTGTGCACCACTGTACTAAACTAACGGTTCACTGCTCTTCAGTGATCATAGTCATTTAAATATGCCATAGACTTTGATCCTTCTTCAACAGCAAAAAGTGTTTGCTAGTTCCATAGCTGTTCATCTGCTGGAAGACTCTTGAAAAGCTGGAGATAATAAATACATAAGCAATATACAAGTAAATATCAGCCAACAAAACTAAAGATTGCAGTTTCTTTTCTTTCTTTCTTTCTTTTTTTTTTTTTTTTTTTTTATATCAAGAATTGAAAAAAAAATAATTGTCACACATAAAAAGGCATTTGTTCTATAACAGGTATTGATGATAAGCACTATAGTTGGAATGAATGTGCTGTGCACTATCAAAAATTCCTCAACAGCCATGGAAGAGTTTGCTTTGTGGTCTACAACTAGTTAGTCATTATATTTTGCCACTGACAGGTTAGGCTATTAATACAGATGACTACTGGAGGAATTTATCAGCCCCATAAACCTTTACACAAATAACTTTTGCTGCTTAACATAATTACTTGTATTTTCTCTTTCACTTCTTTACATTTCATGAATAACTAAACAGACAGATCATGCATTACAGATTTGGACAGATAAGAGCCTTAAGATAGTTTATGTAGTTCTTGACAGATAAGTGGTTTCCAATGATACAGATGATTGTTATACTGCAGCCAACCTGACACCATATTAATGAGACTTTTTCATCATGGAATTCAAGTTACAGTAGACTGGAGGCAAAAGGGTACAGGTACAGATAAAAAAAAGCTTTTATTAATAAAACTTTTTATTATAATACAGTACATATTTGAAAAGATATATGTCTTCAAAAGAATTCATCCATGTTAATTTCTGATTTCATAAGTTTTTCAGTAGCTACAACAGGGAGGAAAAGGAGGATTTCAACTGTATGCATAACATTTTCTCTCTCATACACACTAAAAATAAATGAATAAATAAATAAAAATATAAAAGAAAGAAAAGTAAATTGAATGCATTAAAATATAAACTCCAGTATTTCTTCCATTAAATCATACATTAATTATTTATAATTTTTGTACAATTTAGGAAAGCTTTAAATTCACTTAAAATGACAAAATCAATTTTACATCTGCAATGTGTGTAAAATGATTACACATAATTTTTAAAAAATGAACATGCCAAATAACTTATTTGCTAATATGATAGGATGTCAGCATTAGATCACAAAGTATACTTACTTTCCAACACATTGATCGAAAACTTGATCCATCAGGAATTCCTGAAAAAGAAATAAAGTATCTAAAATAGATTCTTTTGCATGAACTTTCCAATTCCCTGAATATTACAACTCTTGATTTTCGTTTCACTTTTAATCCCTTGTTAGAAGCATTAATTTATCAAAAATTATTTTCCTCATTACCTTTACATAGTTAAAATATTTGAACAGCCACCCTAATTGGTATAGTGGTTAGCATTGCTGGCTGCTACATTACTAAGCCCAGGTTCACATCCCACAGAAGACTTGTATGTTTGCAAGTTCACAGTATTTTTGAGGCATAAGGGACATTTACAATATATGGTGAGCTGATTAGTCTTCTCCAGTGATTTTGTCATAGGAGAAGAGGGATGGCAGCCTGGGAAGATTTTCTTCTGAAACTGGGACAGTGCTAATCAAAATCAGTTGTTATGGATAAAGTGTCCAAGGCCCATACCAACTACAATTCTGTGCTCTTTGCGAAGATAAAATACTATAGGACTGATCAGCATTGGGATCAAAAGACTTACTATAGGACTGTAATGATATTACAGTAAGACAAGTGAGGTAAGAAACAGTAATAAACATTTGATCTGAAAATTTAAGCAAATTAACCCAAGAAACAATTAGTCATTATTATACCATGGAACTCCTCCATGATATATAAAAGAAAAATAGGTTAAATAAAATTTTTAAAATTAGTTTCTTAAAAGCATAAATATTATTACATCAAGTAAACATTAACCTGACTTAAGATCACCACTATCAGCAGCTGCAAATATGTTTTTAAATTATTTTTTACTAGTTGAAGAACCCTGATTTATCCAGAGAAGCTTCATTTATAGTGATAGGGTTAGTTTTTTTCAGACTGTATTTTCAAAACCATTTTCATTTCATGAAAAACTGACAGAAGGTGCACTTAAATTCTGCTTTATTCAATGATTCTACAAAGATTCTACAGTGTTCTGATAAGTTCTACACAGTTTTAAAAAGATAACTAGTATGGCACCATCTAAAGGTTTTAGTAAAAATTTATACTTGCTTTGTTACTGGTTACAGAAAATCAAGATCCACTCAATTTCTTCACCATTTTTGAAATATTGCAGAAAACTCTCAGACAGTGCACTTATTCTGCTTTAAAGGTTCTATGCTGTTCTAAAGAGTAAACAACACTGTGTCATTGAATGGGTTTAGTATGCACTAATAACAGATATGTAACAATGGCAACATGAACCAAAGATGGCTGACATGATTTCAAAACTGAAAGTGTGTAGAAATATTGATATCTACCTTTTATATTAAAAAAAAATTACAAATTCCTAGTTTAGAACATATGACTTTCACTGATAGCGGGAACACAGCAACGTTGATGTGAACCTACGATAGGTGTCATAAGTGCAGCACTCTTCAAGTGTGTACCCCATTGGATGGTTTTACGAAATCTTATGTAGACAGTGATTTTCCTCCTGTTTTAAAGGTCAAGTATGTAAAATTTCATCATGATTGGAACAAAACTGTGGATTTGTGTGAATTACAGACACAAATAGATGGACACTCTTCTTTACATAAATATATATATATTTCAATTAATCAATCTTGGCCGAGAAGTGTACCACTTAAGACATCGCTCGAGGGGGCTGTACATGATCAAGTCATGACCTCAGAAATGATATATATATATACATGATATATAAAAATGGCCAAACTGGCAAAACAAAATAAATATTTTAATCAATCTAGGTAGCGTAATTTCACAGGCCCAGCCAGTAAGTAACTAAAATTAATTTGTGTTTATTCCTCTTAAACTGCTTCGTTTGCTAAAAATAGAATAAATTTAAAAGAAAAATTAATAAGAAATACTATTCATGCTATTTAAAGGACCTTACCATTGAAACATAGCTTCTGCAACTCTGTCACTGTTATGGTATCTTTCTCAAACAGTTCAGTGAATAGCTGTAACCTATCAAAAAATTTGCACGTCACATTAAGTAAACTGAAAAAGTACTACACTTTGAATAAATACTTAAAGGTAAAAAACTTTATTAATTGCATAACTAACATAAATATTAAAAAATTAGCTTCTTTATTTAAAAGACTCTTTATAAGTACTTTAATCATACAAGTATTAAAAATATTTAACATGTTATTTCATAATATTGTAACAGAATTTTTTTAAAAAAAATTATATTGCTTTTTCTATCTAAAACATTACTTACCAGGAAGAGGAATCAAGAAATTTTCAATATATTTTTTCTCTTACTGAGTTTCTTATGAAAAAAACATACAATTGTACAGAAAAAAGATTAAAACAGTATTATTTATATGGCAGCAAGTTTCAGCTATAATAGGTCAGCTTAACTTAAGAAACAATATTTTAATTACTAGTTATCCAAAAAAGTTCATGCTGCTTGAGTGAAAAGTGAAATTAAAATGACAGGCATCAGCAATCCAGTAGGGATAACATCAGATGTTGACATTCCTGCCAACCCTCAGTCAATTCAGAAATATGTTTTGCATTTGGAGAGGCATCTGTGAGTGAACACCCAATGTGAAAACGGTTCAGTTGATCAGCATTGGGGAAACGATAGAGTAAAAATCCTTTCCTTATTTCAATATAATGAATATTGAATCTTGTAGGAAGAATAAAGCTAATTTTTCAGAATAAACAAAATACTTTTATTTAAATTTTAAAACAGAACCAAAAAAAATAAATACTGCAGCTCTAAACTATCAAAATTTTAAACTCTTAACTACTGCAGTTAAAACTCTTACAACTATTAAAATATTCAAAATCCTAAACTCTCTAAAAATATATATATCTAAATCTTTCGAATCCTCTTCTTGTTGCCACACCGTAAAATGCAAGTTCTTGTCCTATTATTTATATTTCACGTTCTCTTTAAGTCACGATCTTCACAAGTCATGATCTTTACAAGTCACGATCTTTACAAGTCCCCCCACAAGAAGCACATCCGTCACCGTAGAGACAATGTTGCTCAGAGTTCATTGAGAGAGAAAAGAGTTAACAGCTAACCTTGACAAAGCATCAGCATTCCCATGTGAACTTCCTTTGCGGTATGTCACAGTCATGTTATACCGTTGTAACGCTAAGGCCCAACGAGAACAGTTTAGCACCATGAGGGGCGCTTTGGGTCAAGTAGGTGAGGGGATTGTGATCAGACACAATCTGCACTTTGGCACCGAAAATCCATGTGTCAAATTTTTTCAAGGCTTCGATGACACAAAATGCTTCTCGTTCGATGGTTGACCATCGTTGTTGACAGGGCGTTAATTTCTTGCTGAAAAAAAATGCTATGGGCATTTCTTTACCATGTTCGTCGTTTTGAGCTAAACACGCTCCAATTGCGAAAGCAGATGCATCCGTATAGAGTTGAAAGGGCTTGCTGATGTCCGGAATATGCAGAGATGGCATTTTAATCAACTCTCTTTTTAAGTTTGTTGAAAGCTGCTTCTTTTTCAGAGTCCCATTGAATATTATTTGGAACACTCTTCTTTGTAAGGTTTGTTAGAGGTAAAACAATCTCAGAAAAATTTGGGATATAATCCCTATAGTAGCTTGCTAGCCCTAAAAGACTCCTGACTTCTTTTTTAGTGGTAGGCTTAGACAGATTTCTGATGACTTCTACCTTCTCAGGATCTGGAGAGTGAGTGCCAGAACCTATTACATGTCCTAGAAACTTCACGTGACTCTTTCCAAAATCACACTTTTCTAGATTTGCGGTTAGACCTGCGTTTCTCAGTGTCTGAAACACTTGGTCGATGTGATAGAGGTGGCCATCCTAAGTTTCAGAAAATATTGCCACATCATCAATATATGAACGGCAGTAGTTCTTATGGTTTGCAAGCACCTTATCCATCGATTTTTGGAAGGTACTTCCAGCATTTTTCAAACCGAAAGGGAGAACTTTCCATTGGTAATGGCCGGAATGAGTGATAAATGCTGTGTAGGGTTTAGCTTCTTCTTTCATAGGAATTTGCCAATATCCTTTGGTTAAATCGAGAACTGTTATGAATTTGGCTTTCCCTATTTCGAATAGTAAATCTTTAGCAATCTTCATCGGATAGGCGTCCGGAATTGTGAAGCTATTTAAAAGCCTGAAGTCTATGCACAGTCTAATGCCGCCATTCTTTTTTGCAACACATACTATAGGATGTGCCCAGTTACTGTCACTGGGTTCTATAAGATCCCATTCTAACAGTTCTTTAACTTGACGATCAACTTCCTCTTGAAGTGAAACAGGAACACGGTAGGGCCTCAATCTTTTCGGATTACATCCTTCTGTAACCTTGATGTCATGACCATCAACATTGGCTTGACCAGGTTTGCTACTGAAAACATCTACATAAGATTTTAGTACTTTAAATAGTCCCTTCCCGTTGGTAATATTTTAAGTCACCTTTCAAATTTTGTAAATGGGTCCAGATATCATCAGCAGATTTATTCATAAGATCTGCTGGTGCATAGTGGATATCTCCAAACTCTTCATCTTGGTCAAAAATGATACCAACATGATCTACACGAGCAATATATGGCCTTAACTTATTTATATGGAGTTCTCTAATACTTCCGTTTTCCATTTCGATTTTGGCAGAGTGTGGCCTGGTAAGTTTGATCACGGTAGCTGGTCCTTGCCACGTGTTGAGCAATTTATGTGATGATGATGGCATTAACACGAGGACTTTGTCCCCAACATTGAAAGTCTTTTCTTGAGAACGTAAGTTGTATCTTGAAGTGTACTCTTCTTGAGATATTTTGGAATTTGCTGATGCAATGTCATGAGCTTTTCTTAATTTTTCTAAAAGATCCTTGTAGATAATTTTCAATTGAACGGGAAGCTGTAACTGGAATGTTACGTTCACCTGTCCATATCTCTTTCAGCAAAGATAAATGGTCCTGGTGGTATTCTTCCATATACCATCTGGAAGGGAGACAAAACAGTGGTGCTATGTGGCACTATCTCTGTAGGCAAACAGGAGATAGGGAAGATTCAAATCCCAGTTTCTGCCCATGTTCTTGGATATTTTTGTTCATCATCTCTTTTAAGGTTCTATTCCAATGCTTCGAACGGCACCCATACTCTCGGGGTGTCCTGGACGTGGAGAATCGTGGAGGACACACCAAGTAAGTTCTCAAAGGCTCGGGTGAGTTTGGCTGTGAAATTAGTTCCCTGGTCGGGAACAAATCACTTTTTGGAAATCCAGTTTGAGTAAAAAACCTCATCAAAACGTTGCATGTTGTTGCTTTGCACTTATGTCTTTGACGGGGGGTGGCTTTCTGCCTATCTGGTGCAGTAGGTCAACTGCACATATCACAAACCGATGACCCCTTCCTGGATGGAGGTTCTAATGGCCCGATACACAATCCACGCTCCATACTTCAAAGGGTGTTTTCCGGTCTAACAATAGGGTTGAATTGGAATTTGATCTTTGTACGTAACTTGTTCCTCCTCAGTTGGCATTCTTTACAACTTTCACAGAATTTTTAACATCTTGCTTAATAGTAGGCCAAAAAGAATGAGTACTTGATTCGTTGAATTGTCTTTTTCTCACCGAGGTGGCCAGGCAAGAGGGATTTTGTGTGCCGTTCTTAGGACTTCCCTTCTTTTTTTCTAAAGGTAACACAACTTTGCTTAATGTTTTCACCACAGATATATTTCAGGAATGAAGTAATATGCCATCATCGAAAGTATATGAATTTTGATTTTTATTCATGCCCATTCAAAGCATTTTTTCAGAGTTTCGTCTTGTTCTTGATGTGCTCTTGAAATTCTAGTCTTACTCTATTCGTTGTTTTCCCAGACTCTATGTTTTCTTGGGAAAGCTGATTAACAACAGCCAAATTTGTAGTATTTTCTTCAACTGGTAACGGTTTATCATCTGTCTCTTTGTTACTCTAAGGGGGATACATCCCAATAACGATCACAGTTAAACAGTTCGATATTCCCACAGAGTGTTTCATAAGCTGAAGAACTCAATAGCAAATCGGTAACTAGCTTTTTTGAAACAGCACACGTAATGGACACTCTACCGTGAAAATCATCGTTAATTTTCATCTGGAAAATCTTTAGTGGAGTAATTTCGTTTTCACCAAAAGCAGAAGATATCTCTATTTTACTTTCTCCTTCGCAAGGTATGTTGTCAACCAATTTCTCACGGATTACTGAGCTTTGTGCTCCCATGTCTACGATTCCATTTAAAATAATATCTCCACATTTAACTTTGACAAGTTTTAATTCATCTATGTTTCTAGACACGTCCACTGATTTTGAGACAGGAATAGAGATCTTGGCAGTTAGCACTTCTGGTTTTTCTTTTTCTGTAAGGGGTGCTTGTGTTGTATTAAGTTGTTTTGTGCTGTTGCAGAAGCACTTCTTGGTATCCGATTTTTGGTACATAACTTAGATGTATGACCTTCTTTTCCACAATTATAGCAAGTTAGTTTGAAACTAGGCTTTTGTGGTTCGTCACTTTTTACGGGATGGGTACACTCTTGGCGTGTTTTTCAGCGAACAGCGATTTATTTCTGAAAGCTCTTTCTGGAAGTGGAGAATGAGGTTGCCATTTTTTTATTAGTTCTGTCTGCTGATGGATTACCACCAGTCCGTTTTGAGATATTACGAACACTGTCATATTCGTCAAGTTTATCAGCTAATTTGGGAGAAACGAACTTCGCCCAGTCGTCAAGAAGATGGTCTCTTACTTTCATAGGGTACTCTTTTCTTAATTTGGTCAGTAATAATCAAGTCTTTTAACGCGGCAAAATTTTGCGATTTCAAGACCATTGATCCATTCTTCAAAATAACTTGTTAATTTCGTAGCAAAAATCTCTCCATGATTTTTCAGCGCTCTTTTGGTGCATCACAAATTTTTTTTTTAAAGCTTTCAGGATTTAATTTAAATCTCTTCAATAAAATGGCCTTAATGTACTCATAATCTTCA